ATTAGCTTCGCCAGCAGTCTGGAAAGACTTCAACAGGCAGTGGGGGTCGTTACCCGCAGCTAGCCAGCCCAGCTAGCTTTCAAAGCAGCCACAAAAACACCCGTCCGGACCGAAGCCGCTCCCTCCGTTGAAAACAGTTTGAGTCCGAATATCACAGCTGGGTGTCTTGGCCCTCGTACCCCTCGCCTTTCTCTGACAAGACAATGAGTCGGTCCAGAGCACCATTCCCGTCCCGGTTAGCTGACTCGGTAGTTAGCAAACAGCGATGCTGCCACTCGCTGAGCCCCCCAGAGATTCGTCCTGTTTTGGGACAGCTCAGAGCTGTTTCACTCTTCCCTCAGTGGAAGCTAGCCAAATGGTCAGGCGAGCAAGAGCCGCGCATAAGCTCCATGTCCGCAACAGAAAACAAGCGGAGAGTCCTCTTCGCGTAAAGCTTTCAGCCGAAGTCAGTGCTGTTAAATCCCTCTTGAGCGTGGCGAGAGTATCTTATTCTGAGCTGTATGTTGTTGCTAAGGGCGTCTTCAGTGAGCCCAGAGTCAGCAGGGAAACTGAGGGAGGGAGCAGGGCGGCGCTTAGCTAGGAAGGCTGAAAGGACGCAGAAAGGGCGCCCCCTAGCGGTCACTCGAGCGCTGCAGATGAACCTTGGGCTGTTTGTCGAGTCCATTATCACAAAATTCAGCTGCCTGCACCGCATTTTCTTTGAAGCATTTAAACACTTCAAGCAAAAAAAAAAAAACTGGCATAATCTAATTGTGTCATCTGCACAATTAGTGGGGATGGGGGAGTGTTTTGTTTGGCAATGTGTATCCATCGGCTTGTCATGATAACAAATTTTGTTGCCCTAAAAGTTATTGCGATAAATGATAATAATATTGCTTTAAGACCATTTTGAAGTAATATATCATGGCATAATAAAGCAATTTCGTTCTCTAAAAGACCAACAAACTTTGATTTTGTATAGAATACTTTACACTGGAACTGGAAAATATATTGAGAAGAAAACACAACAACCAGGAAACAATAACTAAAATAGAAATAAAAACCCACACACAGCTGAAACCATAAATAAAATGAGTTATGAAGTGTCTGTAAATAAAATCGCCCTTCAAAAAATAGTAATAATCAGAATGGAAATTATCGGGCGATTAACTGATTCATTGTTTATTGCGACAGACCTGTGTATGCAGTGTGACGGATGCATTTATGCAGAAACTGACACTTTTGTCAAAACAATTAACATACAAAAAATCAGGAACTGACAGTCTGTGTAGGTATTGTAATAAACAATTCAGAAAGGAAGCAAGTAAATAGGTTTAACAGCTACATCTTTAACTACTGTGTGTGTAGTTGCAAATCAGAAGATTGTTTTTGTAACATAATGTTCATGACAACCAACTTATGAAAGCATTTTCTTCGAGATGCCACTTGTTTTGAATTTGTAAAAACCTACAGTAATTCTCTTTTCTCTTCATTGCCAAATGAAAAATCTGAAAGAGAGATTAAAATGGATAGTTCAGGGTTTTTCAAGTGAGTTAAAAACAGAATTGTATTAATATTAATTCCTACACTCTCTTAGTTAATTTAGGAATAGAAAGGAAGTGTCTAATCAGAATTGCTTTACTTTTTTTTACTCTCGGTACGTGTGAAAATAACCATACAAGGCAAACATCGCAGTAACATAAAGATTACTAAATCTCCTTTTTTCAGGTTCTATTTGCTTTATAATATAGAAGTCTTTTTTCTTGGCATCTCTTAGTTAACTTGAGCCACTGGGATTAACTAATCTCAATCAGCAGTAAATCAAGATACCTACTACAGGGAAGACATTGACTTCCGACAGCTATTTATCAAGATTTAATTTAAAGAAATCGTTCCGTATCCATTTAAGATCTCAAGCAATATTTGACACATTTTTATAAATACTTTTTTATTCTGCAAAATCAGCTCGGCTCTTTCTGTTTGTCAGAATGAAGAGTAAAGAAAAGCAGCGGTTGTGTTGTTAAATATTTAAAGCATACGTTTTGTGCAGAACTTGTTAGGGCCACACGTCGCTAACGGTCATTCACTCCAAATACCCTATGAGGAAAACTGCGAACTGAAACTTGAGAGGTCACGAAGATCCATACTGAGACACAAATAGTTGGAGGCAGCGAATAGGACAGACGGAGTAAGACCGGGCCGGCATGAGAAGGGGACCGGGGCTAAATTCAGAAAGTGATACATGGCGGCTGCAGAGGGTAAAGCTAATCATAGCTCTTTCTCAGAGGTGAGAAGAGGGCCCTGTCTATATTTGCTTCCATAAATATGCATGCTGACACAGATTTAGTTAGCTCCTGGCCATCAGCCAACCCTTAAACACCATATTGATTATTCTTAGCTCGTGTATGTGACAATGTCTATAAACTGAAACGCTTTTCGCACTTTCCTCTAAAGTAGGTTGGGCATGTGAGAGTGTGGGCCAGGCACCCTATTTAACCCCAGCTGCTGAATTTACAGCTACAGCAAAACATAGGGCCAGGTGCAAAAGCTACCTATAGGTCCTTGTGGGGGTTTCTGGCTGTATTTGGTCATAAATCCCGTGACAGACGCCGACACCTGTTACTTTATTGCTTTAACACCATATTCTAAAAGGACAGTGAAAACAGAGTTCAACTAACCCAACCCTAAAAAAGGGAACTCATTGTGGAACCAAACTGTCGCTATGATACGAGCACCAAGGCTGCGGCTCAGGCTGCCGTCGGTAATATTTAGAGGAAATTTTGTCTTAGCCTATTGAAAATTAAAAACAAGATAAGCCAACGTTAATGTAGCACAAATAACCCACATAATCAAAAAAGATGAGCAGTTCAAACACTAGGAACAGGGAGTTCTGATGTAGCATTTTAGCTAATTCAGATTTAATTATTTAACTCAAGTTCGATATTAAACTATTAATCACGATTGTTACCGCTGATGTTGAACACATATTGGATTTTACAGTGAGGACTGGTTAATAACTTTCCTATTTCAATCTTTGAATTTTATTTCTACTTATTGTTCTGACTTGGAACTTGTAAATCACTTCTGCATAAAAACATGCAGTGCAATTAAATAATGTTTCTTTTTATCACGAACACAAGAGATGGGAAATGTCCAGGTGCTGGTTATTTCACCCAGTCTCCACTTCATACCTTTGTAGTTTTTGACGTCATCTATCGCAGGACATTTACCATTCGTGTATATATCGAACAGGGGAATGTTTTGTGTAAAAATCTAAAAAGATTTAAAGGAAAGATTCAAGGGAATTTTTCATAATCTTCTCATCCTACTGTCAGAAAAAGTGCTCACTTGATTTAAACAAATCCAACCTTCCAGCAAGAAGTCGTTCAAAGTTATGTTGCATTGATCAAGGCCCTAATCTGTCACGCTAGTCTGCAAAAAAGTTAAGTATTACGTTTTATTACATAAGTTGTCAGAAATATTAAGATTTAAAAAATATTGATCTGTCTTTACAAACATAATTTTATGAATGAGTTGCTTGTCTGTTGTGCTTTTCATGCTCATAAAAGTCTCTTTTTCTCACAAACAGAATAAAAGTTTCATGATCTTAAGTCGGTCATTAAGTACAGTTCTTACAGCACGTACAACGCTGAGATGCTGCAGCCACCCTCCCATCAGCTCTTCCTACAAAAGCCACGCCACCCTGGGCGGAGAGCCACATCAGCTTTTGACATCATAGCAGTAATTTGGAAAGCTTAGTGCGTTGTAAGGTGGCATTTGTAAAAAGAGCCGCTGCTACAGGGTTCTCTGTGAGCAGATAAAAAAAGAAAACACAAAGTAGGACGAACAGCTGTAGCTTCCATGCAGCATGTACAGGTGGCGCTTGTGGTCTAGATGAGGCCACCTGCTGGTGGTTAGAAAGTAGTGCAAGTGGGCTTTTCAGAAGGAAATCATGACACAGGGAGATCAGCACTTTCTGAGGTTCATGACTAAACTACACATTGTGTTCATACCAGGGATCCAGTAGGTGGTGCTTAGCTGTGTCACCGACCAAAATAAACATACTAACACTTAATTAGGGATTTTTGTATGCAACTTCATACGAATGTGAAGCAAAACAACTGTTTAAACAAACACATAACACCTTTTCAATAAAGATGTTACCCTTTTATTTCATTTAAATTTCTGTACAGGTCTAGTCATATTTATACACAGTTGTACAAGTAAAACTAAATAAATTGCAAAAGTAAAGCAACACCCTTTACATAATTTCACATGGATGGTTGTGAACCATAAAATAAATAAAATGCACACACACACGTAAACATGCACACACACACACACACACACACACACACACACACACACACACACACTCCCACATGGAATTAGCTGAGGGAAAATAGGGGCCATTCTGAAAATGGGGATAAAAGGGGAAAAAAAAATAAAAATAAAAACCAACGTCATTCCAGAAAATCGCACACAAGCAGAAGGATCCACACTTGTAACTCAATCAGGCACCTGAACGTGTGCTGAAACCCACGTTAATGCAGAAAACGCATGGGACAAAAGGCACTGCCAGCAGGAACAGCTCGGGTGGTGAGGGTGGAAACACACAGGTAGGTGTGGGTTTTACAGGGAGGTATGTGCTCATAGACAGCAGGCCTCACTTATCTGAGGATTAGAACGAACGTAAGAATGTCTAATGGATTGTCTCTACTACGCAGGATGACCACACACACTAGATGAAATGATGTAAAAAAAAAAAATAAAATAATAATCATATTAGCAACAACGTTAAATCTTTTCACTCTTTTTTTCCAGTGTCTACACAATTCATATGCATTGCAAACATATCATAGCCATTATTATGAGTTTTACATATTTTTTGTTCCTTTTTAGGGGTAAGGAAATTAACTAAAATGCATGCCCAGCCTCAGAGTTGTGGCCCGGATCAAGACGTGCAAAACAAGAAGCTGATTTTTTTTTTTTTATTCTTTTGTTGGTTTGTTATTTTTTTTATCCACCACCTCCAATTCAATTGAAATCCTCTTTGTAAAAGTCAGTCGGCAAGCGTTGGCGTAAACATCCTCTCTCATTCATAAACAACCCCCAAAACAGCAAGAGTTTGCTCGCAACTAAAAGGCATAAGAGCTGACTCTCATCATCTCTCCAGGGTTCTTATTTGTGGATTTAGGCAGTAAAAAAAAATAAAATAAAATGAAAAATAAAAATAAAGAAAAAACTAACCACATCTGGCATCTGTGGACATGGTGGGACTGAGTGAATTAGAGGAGAAAAACGGCAAGCATCTTTCCTACTTCGAATCATCTCACGTATGGGTTAATATATATAAACACATACTAAGAACATGGTGGCGACAGCATCATGATGCTGGGATGGGCAGTAAAAAAAAAAAAAAAAACAAACACACCATATGATTGTCCTTCAGCTCCAGCTCGATGCAGCTAAAAGCAATCATGCCTTCTCTTTTAATCCTAATCCTATGTGCAGGGCAGATGAGCTGAGAGACTCATGCATAAGTAACACTTGCAGTAGCAGCAGCAGCAGCAGCAGTAGTTGTTGTAGTAGCAGAAGAGAAGGGAAAAGTGTAAAAACCATCGCTGATTCACATCAGTCATAAACGAGATCTCAAGAAGAAGGTTGCAGTTCCAGATCTTCCTTGGCAGGGGTAAACATCTGTTGTCCGGATCCTGTTGTGGGTGCGGTGGGATTGCGTAAGGGAGCCTGCGTACGACCTGAGAAAGTATATGCATCAGCGTGTCTCCTGTCCGTGTCTGAACGTTTGTCGACGAGGAGTCCGAAGGTAAGTTCAGCTCAGGCTCCGCTTCTCTGGACTCAGATCACATGGTATCCTAAAGGTCCGCACATCCCCGGGGTCGGAGACATGAGGGGGACGGGGTCAGGGGTCAAGGGTCAAGGGCCGTGCTGTTGAAGGGCCTGCTGCAGCTTCTGTCGGTAAATGGTGTACTTTTGCTGCACGGCTCGCACACGCTCCGCCTCCTCTTTCTCCAGGATGACCAAGAAGTTTTGAAGCTCTGGGACAGAGAACGCGTGCCACTGTGGAACGAAGAGTGAGATCAAAGAAGGACATGAGTTCACTCTTACAGCCTCTTTTTAATGCACTGTTTTGTTTTTTTTACTTTGAATTTATAAAACTCTGCCTTGTAATCCTTTCCCATTTACTTGTCATGTAACTGAAACGATAATGCACATGTACACAGCTTTGTAAATGTGTTCGTCGTCCATTCCTACATTTTATAAGAATCTCAATCTCAATGTGCTTAATTAGGATCTTACTAAATTATAGACCAGACCATGCTTTCCAGAATTTTCTAAACTATTGCACTGCTTTGCGTCGGCCTGTCACTCAAAATCCTAATAAAATACTGCAACTATTGCAGTTGTAATGAAAAAGAGAAAAGCTCTACTCTTGGAAATCATTATGTTTGTACGACCGTGCGTGTTTCAAGGCTCCCTCACCTCAACCTCTCCGGTCTCGTTTTCCTTTAGGACAAAGGTGAGCTGCTCAGGATCTGGTCCTGCTTTCAACCTCAGGACAAGAGGATGTTCAGACAGAGAGAGCTTCTGGAACAAGTCTGTACCGGGACAATAACGAAAAAAAAAAAATTTAAATCAGGGATTTGTTGGGCATATTGTGCATTAAATAACACGTGGGAGGTCTTTTCCTCACCCTGTCCATCTCTGTGCGTCTGCCTGTACAATGCGAACTTGCGAGGATCGTCCAGCACCATGAACTTCTTCAGCAGGCCCTGTATCACCTCGCTGGTGGTGGTCAGAGAGCCGATGTGGATCTGCTTCACACAGTCGCATGGCAAGTAGAAGGACGTCCGCTTTTCCGTACGCTCCCCCTGCTCTCCATCCTGGTCTTCTGACGGGGCGCGGCCCCGGTCGCCCTCCACCGTGACCGGCCGACTGAGCCGCAGGTGGACCTTAATGAAGCCGGTGAAAGAGCCATCTGCAGCCTGAAGCGCATAACAAAAAGACGACAACAAAGGGGAGAGAGTTTTCAGAACTAAAATACAGTAGAGTCTGCCGTAGCACCGGCAGCACTCATTCCAACACATGAAAGACTTAATGGGGAGAAAAGAACAGTTTTGGAATGGGCTAGTCAAAGTTCAGACCTAATCTGACAAAAGAAAAGTCTGTGGAGTCCCTAGAAGAGAGCTGACAACAAGAGTCGTCCTCCTAATCTGACAAATTTGGAGAATGTCTGCCAGGCAGACTTGGCGAATATTACCAAGTTGACTCCTGAAGGCTGATACCGAATCTAAAGGGGCTTCAACACAGTTTTAAAACTGTGCACATTTTTCGTTGATTTTCACTTAACTTGTGCAGAATGTCACAAAATACAACCAATTTTCAATAGTATTATTTATTTCCCTGACAAAACATAAACTGTTTTCCTCCGGTATTTACATCAAGTAGTGCAAATATGCTGCTAAACAGCACAAAGTAACAATACCAATCAACCTTATTAGTCGACAGTATGACAATGCTACTTTCAAACACATACTAAAGCAATTTGCTCCTTTATGTTTTTCTAACTCATCCGTTTGCATTCCTTTACAACAAATGTAACAAAAAATACATAGTGCTTTTTTTCTGATCAGAGCATTCATCTATGATAATTGGATTTGATGGTTTCCTGAACTCACCAGATTCATGCCATTTTCAGACACCTGAGCGTTGTACGACTCTATCTTGGCCTGGACTTCTTCCTCTGACAGCTCCTCAGCGCCTCCTCTCTCCTCTTCCTCCTTTGTTTCACTTTGCTGGAAGGAGAAAGGAAATATCAGTAAGTAAGTCGAGGACTCTCATGGTCTATTCAGTGCTCTATATTTAACAGCAGATGGCGCTGTTACAGTTCTCCCAGTAAAAAACAAACAAACAAACAAACAAAAAAACAAAAACAAAATAAAAATCCTATTGAGGATTGGAAAAGTTGAATGAGCACAAACTTTTTAACCTCTATTTTGTTTAGTCTTTGAAGGAAATATTAAGCTGATAATGAGTCTCCATGCTCTTCCCCACATAGAAAAGCTGCTTTTTTTTTTTTTTTTTGCTCGTCATCCATCCTCAACAGTGAGATGACTCAATGCTCCAGCTGTATTTGGAGTCAAGAAATATTGTGAATGGAGCTAATAACACAGTCGACACGAGACGAACGCCTTCCCCCTCGCTCTTATTCATCCCTCTGACAGAGAGACGGGGAGTGAGGGAGGAAACGCATGACAGGAGGAGAAGGATGGAGGGAGTCAAACAGTGGGAGGCCCTGAGTGAGGGATGAAAAATGATGAAAGAATGGCTGCTGAGCAAGCCTTAGCAACACAGAGTTTGACTGGGTTATTTATAGTACAGTGGGATCCATCCTCTCTATCTCACAATAGCTTCTTCCCCCCCCCCCTCAGCCCCACCGCCACTTCCCTCTCACTCTTCTACAGTTCGTTTGCATTTTCTGAGGCAGTGGGAGAGCGTGGGAGGAAGAGAAAACATTGTCGGGGGCCGGGGGAGGAGGAGAACGGGGGGACGTCGGGGTCACGGCTGCAGGAAGGGTGAGTTTGTGCCTGAAGTACAGACAGACAGACAGGCTGCAACGAATCCTGGAGGACAGGAGAGCAAGAGGAGCCCCCGGCATCGTGAGGAACAAAGTTTAAGGACGATTCTTGAGTTTGGTTCAGAAATATTCAATCACAACTTGGTGAAATGGCAAACGTTACTCTGTGCAGCACACACGCTCTTCATATCTTTTGAATATTTTTTTTCCTGGGGACATGACATAGACATATTTGGACTTCACGTAACGCGCTGTGTGGCTGAAAGTTATCACCACGGTGACACAAGTTTGTGCAGTTTCAGCAAAGAACCTCTTGGATATTCAGGGAAGTTAATAAAATCAGACAACGTTTTCTTGACCGGTGATCAGAAAAAAACAAGAAATCTGTATCAGACAGTAAAAGTCAGATCAGCGCATCTACGACATCCCAGTGTATGAATAATTTTCGGCTCAGCTGAATGCACCATGCAAGCTTTATATGCTTGGGAATGGATTTGGTGTTACTTTAGAGAGCCATCAGGATGTTTTGCGAGTAATTAATTTCATGACCAAAAACAGCAATGATAAAACTCTGTTGGGAAAGAAATAACAAATAAATTTTTTTTTGTAGTTTTATGCATAAATTACTCAGAACCTGGCCTCCATGTCTGCAGTGAAGCCGCCATCAGCAAACACTGAAAGTCTATTTTATCTGTTTGTTGCACGGCACCTTGTCACTGCAACATTCAATGCGCGTTTTCCTGTTTTGTGAAATACATCATCGCCATGGTGACCTGTGGTGGCAGCAGCATCGTACTGTGTGAATGCTTTTCTTCACAAAAGAATTGATGGAGCTAAATAAACTCAGCAAAACGTTTTTTTTTGTTTTTGTTTTTTTTTATTACAGATCCTCTACATCTAACCTGACTGAGCTTCAACTATGTTGCAAAGATTCTTGGACTTAAATTTCTGTCTCCCATGTGCAATTTTTTCCTTCCACTTTGCTTGACTTCCCAGCAAAATATCCAAATCTAATATATTAACCATGTTATTACATGCACTGAGAAGTGTCTAATTGTAAAGTAGCTTGCAAATGTATTCATGCCTGCTTAACTTTCCCCCTTTTGTCATATGGTAACAATAAACTTTAAACAAATAATAAAACAGGAGACATACTGTAGAAACGTTCCACCTCTGACCTTTTGTCTTTATCTTTACAGGCCCATAACCTATTGAGTTTACTGACCTGTTCTCAAGCATAAAAAAAACAAAACAAAAAAAAAACACACACAATAAAGCTGTATAAATGTTGCGCAAGCGCCGAGCGCTCCAGGGATGGGAAAAGAATCTGAGGGTTATTGTATGTAGGAGTCGGACTCCTTCCAGAATTCCTCACAGTCGAAAGCAGCGGAGTGAAAGGAGCCTTGCAGGAATTCCTGCGTTTGTATGAGAGTTTCTAAATGTAACGGAGGCCGTGCCCTGCCCTCCCTTTCTGTATACCAGTGAGAGTGATGGGAGCACAATGGAGCAGGACGGTGTGGGTGTAGCTTCGGAGTCCCACAAAGCTACCCGGTTGGGCCGGGTCGCTTTGGAGCTGCTGACCGAGAGTCAGAAGGATGAAAAGCTACATCTGCTGTAATTACTAGGAGGTCATGTGTTTTCATGGCTTCATGCTCCCTCTGTCAGGACGTACTTTTTCGTTCAAGTAACATGCACACGGAGAATGTTATCTGATTTTGGCTTGAAAAAGTATTTATAATCTTAATATTTTATCACACTATTGCTGTAAAGTGCAGTGTGTTTTATTGGGATTTTAAAATCAGCACAAAGGAGTTTATAGCAGTGAAGATGATCGTTTTTTGTTAGCACACAACCCGTTTTAAACTGACATCTCTAAAATAATCCAGTGCAACTGATTCCTCCTGGAGGGAGTCACCTTATCGAGTTGGGGAGTTAAAAGTTCGCAGTAACCCTGGAGGAGCTGCAGAGATCCACAGCTCAGGTGTGAACGTCTGTCAACGCCTGGATCTGGAATAACTTGTAAGTGACACACAAACGTTCAACTAAGGGTTCTGGTCAGATGGCACTAAAATTTTCCATTTCAAACCCAGAACACACCATCACCATGGTAGAACACACCATCACCATGGTGAAACATGGTGGTGGCAGCATCATGTTGTGGAATACTTTGAGTTCATGTATCACATATAATCTAAAAAAAAAACAAAACAAAAAGAAAACAATCTTTAAGTTTGTGGAGGCAAAATGTGAAAGAAGCACCATGAATGCTTTTACAGTTGTTTCAGCTTGTGTTTTCAATCTCTTGTAGAACACGGACAGTTGTTTTGCTTTAGTTGTGAGCATGCATTTGGAAAATTTTCCATCACTTTCAACTCAGAGCAAGGCATGACAGCTGACGACATAGGTGATTCCCTACTAAGTCTATAAAAGCCCAGCCTAATTGCTGAGCGTCCAGCATCTGTTAGCTGGATGTTCAGTCTCTGTCCGGTGAAGATAATAACACTGCAGGTGACAGAGAGCAGACAGATGCCATGTTATCTAATCCATCAGTGTTAGTGTGGCAGGTGTCGTGTGCAAAACAAATGTGTAGGATGTCTTTGACGGCCATGTAAGCGCGACACACACACACACACACACACACACACACACACATATATGCCATGCAGAACCTGAGGGTGAAATGAATAATTGTTGGTCTGTCTTGCACTGCTGACATGAGACAAGAGAGGTCAGGACAGCTTGAAATGTCAGAGCTGCAGCATGCTCCATGTTTCCTTAACCTGTGACAGTCAATGCCAAATCACACCATCTGTGTTTCCGTGTGAGAATAGATTGCATGTGCTGGTGTACAATGAACGTAGGGTGCCGGCAGAGAGCGTTTGCACGAACACATGCAGATTTAGTTTCACAGCTTTCAGGCTTTCTCACATGCGAGAGAGAGAGTGTGTGTGTGTGTGTGTGTGT